TCAGGATAGTTTTATAGCAAAATATATGCAGAAAATGCCCAGGCCCAAGTAAGAAAGGCTCCTTCTCTGTTTGTTAAATCTAATTTACGTAGGTGGCAGGTACGCCCCCCACTCTGTGTTCTATCAGTAGCTGTCACATCACATCAGATTGTGAGTTTTAAGTCCAGCTGACAGGTCCTGCTGTGTTTCAGATGGACACGGGCGGCAGGCGCATCTCTTTCGGCGTTGATTGACACTTTGCAGACGTTTTGTGCCAGGACTTTTCCGTTTCCGTTCTCCACAGTGCCATGTTTCTGCCAAACAAGCCAGGGGTATTTTTCTGCTTGTCTGATGCACTTAAATATTGAGCCAATCACATGTTGCCTGGAGGGGGAGTCTCTCTGTGCACCTCCACCACACCACCTCCTCCACATAGGTCTCCCAGACTTCATTTGACCTCGGATTTATTGTTTTTTCCTTTTGATCCAAATGTCAACTGTTATTATCAAGTCAGTGTTGCGCTGTCCAGTTGGCCTTTGTCCGCTTTGAACCTCCTTTCCTTTTTCAGGGGTGAAACAAGAGGGAACCTCATCTCCTCACTTACAACTCAACCAATAGACTCTACATCCTCTCATCTAAACCAGCTTCCTAACTCCTAACCTGTCACCTCCTCTCCTCTTCTCTTCCCCCCCTGTCTCTTTGTCTCAACAGAAATCCACAAGAATGTGATCTCTCCCCTGGAGGGTGAAGCCAAAGAGCATGTGCTGCACCAGAAGCACACGGACCTGAAGCAGAAAATGAGAGACCTCAACCAGGGCTTTGAGCGCCTCCGCAAGCTCAGCCACGAGGGCTTCACCGAAGACAGCGGTGAGGGAGACAAAGCATGCATGGACACACAAATCTCCTTGTCTTTCCTAGTTGACATCATCTGTTTCATCCTAAAATATTTTTTTTCTTTTAACTTTTTTTTGGTTTTCATCTGTCGCATGTTGGAAATGTTATCAACGTGCCCATTCACTCACTGTGACTCCTGCTGTATTCTCACATTGGCTGATTCGGACATTGCCTATAATTTTTACTTCAGGGTTTGCAGGAAAAAGTCCGGTGAGAATCCAGAGTAACCGACCGAGACATTCTTCGCTCTCACATACAGCCCCTGTGGGTAATTTCAGGAGATAATTCCAAATTCAGCGAATGTCTGAAATCCGCTTGAATGTGAAGGACGTGAAAAATCAGAATAGAGAGAGTGTTATTTAAAGCAGCTCGGAGTGCAGCATCCATCCAGTGTCCTTGTGATGTTTCACTTATTTATTACTCTGATTAGGTCGTCTTATTGTTTCTGTTAATCAGCTGCTTGAAATCGATGTCGCTGCTGTGGCGTCTCAGCTGTACAGGTTTCAGTGCGAGTATAGTGTTCTCGTGCAGTGTGTCGTAACTCTGACTAAACACCAAGGTCAACCAGAGCTAGTGAAGACAGTCATAGTAGTAAAAGGTTGACCATTTACTCGAAGACTTCCTCATTAACATGCTGGTGAAAACTGTAAATAAACAATACAAAATATTCAGCATTTGTTATTTTACATTGTGCATCATTGTCAAAATTCATTGCTGCTTTGCACTGCAGGTGGAAGTTAGCACAGCTGTTGTAGCTGGTACACATTGGAAATTAAAATCAATGGTTCTACTGCAGAACCAGGAAGCCCCAAACACGAAGTTGCCAAAACAAGAAGTTGTCAAAACAGTAGTTGTTCTAAACCGCAAACGAATAAATTATATTACCAATAAGTCTTTTGAACTGTAAATTAATTTTCCATCTTCCACTTGCAACCAAAAGTAGGCCCCAACAAATGATTTAAAGAAAAGGAATGCCTTAAAGGCAACGGAGCGAGTCTGTTGTGGAGTTTAGATGAAGGGAATGTTCCTTCTGCTGATTCATACTGACCACTTAACTTCCTCTCTACTCACTTTCCTCCAGGTTGTTTCTCACCTGAGCACAAAGCAGTGTTAATGTCCCACTCTCTGTTTTCGAGCTGAGATAGGACAAACAGAAGAAAAATTGCCTGCATTCATGTTTCATATTGAGTGTATACACAAATGACTGAGCAACCAGGGCAGCTTGTTATTGTGATGGTATCTTATAAAACATCTGCTGTGACTGCTCCTCTTCAAAGCTCCCTCCCTCTCGTCTGAGCGAGTATTGGTGAGGCACCAAGCTGTCTCCTTGGATTGTTTATTTCTTCATCTTTCTGTCTGTCTTTTCCTCCTCCATAGAGTTTCGGGAGCCTCGTGTGATTGAACTGTGGGAGTCTGCCAAGAGAACCAACCTCAGCGAAGACGAGCTGGACTCTCTTAAGGTGGCCCTTAAATCCTCCGTGGCAGATTTTTGGACGTTTCTGTTCTCAGATAGTACTTTTAGTTTTTATCAGAATTGCTGCAGTCCAACTCTTAGAAACTTTCAAATCAAGAGCTCTTTTTATAACAGCAGTTTTAACTTTTCTAGTATACGCGGTAGCGAAGTACTACTTGTGTATGGTGAGCCATGAAGCAGAGAGAGCACCTTATTATGATCACATTTTATGCATTAAACATTTGAAATGCAGTGAAAGTATTCCACTTTCCTGTCTTTCAGCATGCTCCTTTCACCCTTTGTCCCATGGGCAGACGAATGTGCTGAACAACTCAATTTAAATTTAAATTTTTAAAAGACATCTGGCTCCCAGGTTCAGACGACTCACAGGGAAGCATGAGGATAGTATTTTCTCTGTGACATTTTCTATCTAGTTACTACTGAAGATGCATATCAGATCCCCTGTGCTGCTGTGCGTGTAATTGAAGGTGAACTGAACTTGTCCCCCTGTCTGTTCGTTGCCCTCCTTTTCTTGGTCATTTAGGAGGAGCTGCGTCACTTCGAGACCAAGGTGGAAAAGCACAGCCATTACCAGGAGCAGCTGGAGCTGTCCCACCAGAAGCTGCGACACGTGGAGGCTTTAGGAGACAAGGACCACATCAAGAGGAACCAGGAAAAGTACAACACACTCGCTGAGAAGACCAGGGAGATGGGCTACAAGGTAAAAGTGTCTGCTTTTAGTCCACACTCTTATTTCCTCCAAACACCACACAGCTACTGATGAACAGTGGACGAGTCTAAACTCATCTGGAGAAAACTGCACTTTAGTGGAGGACAAAGGTTTACAACACTTCTTATTGTTCCGGTTGTAGAATGGTAGGACTCATATTCTAGAGTTGCAACACAATAGTGGTAATAAAGAAATGGTTGTTGGATAATGTTGAAAACCAGAAATATTTACTAGTACAATGACATATTTTGTGGTAAATCGTGATTAATAAATCCTGGTGTTTTTTCATGTGACCAGCTAAATAGATATTAGTACCGTCGGGCATCTTTAGGTCATCTCTTTGTCCAAGAGGTGTTTGTATTGATTGAATATATTTACAGTACTAGTATATACAGTAATAGTACAATCATGCAGACAAGCATTAAATATAATCTCAGTCTGGAGGAAAATATTACAATAAAACAAATGGTTTAACTAACAACTAACAAACTGCAACTCCAGCTAAGAATATCTCTACAAATCTGGAAATCTGTAAGTGTGTGGCTCACATATCTCAAGGACCGCTCATCTTGTCTTCTTCACTCTTAGCATGTGTATTTTTAATACAAGGAAGTGGCTGTGTGTGTGTGCGTGTGTGTGTGTGTGTGTGTGTTTACTTGTATTGACATAATCTATTTTGCCACTGACTGTACATTCTCTCTCTTGCTTTCAGATGAAGAAACACATGCAGGATTTGTCCAACAAGATCTCTCGCCAGGGACTCGAGCACAATGAGCTCTGAGCGGCTCAGATCACCATCATTACGTCAGTGAAGGTTGAATGAAATCGCTTCTGTAACCACACACAACGTATGCTACATTCCCCACATTCCCTTTCATCCACTGTACAAAGAATCTGTTTTTCCACTGAAGGTTTTCTACTTTTGTAGTGTTCTTAGTTGCTGATTGAACAAATGACTGAATGAATGGTTTTGTTTGTACATACTGTGCATATGAAAGATTTCTTATAAATTAGCTGGACTTATTTTTAGAACTACCAGGTCAGGTTTTCAGAAGAGTTATAGATGAATTAAAAATTAGTTTACAAACTAGTCTGGTACTCTGCAACGAATGACAGGCAAGTTTGGCAGAAAAGTGAGCTTGTAGTACAAAAACTGAAGATGTAACTTTTCTCCAACAAAGCCAAGTGTAGTGTGGGAGGTTGTTGTTAAGGGCCGGACAGCTGCAGTTGAGTCAGACTTAACCAGATGATGTATCTAAGATGGTTCAGGTCCTGGAGGGCGGCCAACCACCTGCATCAGTAGACATATTGGCACGTCGATGCCCAGACGATTTATTTACACCCCCTGTCCTCAGCTCTGCAAGTAATAACTGCTCCATCACATAAGCTGTTAATACTCTAGTGACTCATGCTTCAGTCTGCTGAAATATTGTGACAATACTGTTATTGTCTGATCAATATCAAATGAAGAATACTTTTCGAATTCGGGTAAGAAACACTGAAACCTGAAAATGTAACAGCAATCTTTAATGTTCAGTAAGATACAGGTGCCAACAGCATACAAACAATAATATTTTAAAAATATAGTTCAATATCATTCATATAGTCTTTGACTTAATTAAAGCAGCTACTATTTACAAAAAGTTCTTCTTGTAATGACATTAACAGACTGTGGTTTATAATAAAACTAAATTTGCCTCTTCCTCATGTTCTCTCATCTCACCTCCTCCTCAGAGACACTGGTGAGGAACTGCCACCATAAATAAAGAATTTCCCTCAAATATTGGACTCTTTGTCCTGATGATATCAAGAGGGAGGTGAAAAGTTGGAGCACACATGCTGCGCTTTTTCATTCATCAATTCTTGCCCTCTCATGGACCAGAAGCAGACATTGATCACGGGGATGAATAATGTTACCGGCTGGCTGATTGCTCAGTCATGTCCTGCTTGGCTCACATGGGCCCGGTTTAATATAATTTGCACCCGAGATATAACTCTAAGCTGCTTACTTCAATCGAATACTTTAAAGCTCTTATGTGGAATGACTGACGAGCTATCTGGGACTCTCAGCACTTGATTGCAGGTGTCAGTGCGATGGGAAGAAGGGCTTGATCTCATTGTGTGAACCAAACCTGTGATAAATAGTATGAAATAAAACAATGGCAGTTGCTAACTCTGTGAGAGAGGCAACAACAAATACAGCCACACCCAAACAATGAGAACTATCCACAACAAGAATTTCTAACAAATGACACCAGTGTCTCACGTCTGTAATATCAGTGGTAAACAGTAGTTTGTGGTGTCATGTATTACTTCATCATATGCAGATCTGCAGTCATCCTGAGAGAATCTTAAAAGAGGAGCATAGAAAATAGTTCCTTCGTCAACAGTTGCCACAGTGTTTGTAAGTGCCATGCAGCCAACAAAACTAGGTTAAAAAGGCAACAAATTCTAATCTATAGATATAGAGAAATTAGAGCATATAAACAAAACACATCCATGATGGCAGCTGCATAAAAAACTATCCAGACATGTCCTATTTTCTTCTTTATATTGGAATGGATTGTTTGTGGAAATATTATTGTACACTGGTACAACTGTGTGTGTGTGTGTGTGTGTGTGTGTGTTTAAGTGTGATGATCACCTGCACTTGAGCATGAAGCTTATTCAGAGAGATGGAGAGAGTCAGTAATGACAACGTTTTTTTAAAGTGTCATCAACTCAGTCATTGCACTCAGTGTGGTGGCCTCGCCGCCTGTTCTCCTGCTGAGTCAGTCTGTCCTCTCTGCCCTGGTCATGCTCCGCCCCCACTCTCTGAGCTGTTCCCATGGCAGCACGGTCGAGGTGGGCGTACCTGAGGGAGCCCTCTTCTGGTTGGGAGAGAAGAAGAAACTTATTTCCTGTTTCTGCAGTTTGACACCTTAAACCCAACAGGAAACACATGCTATGTAATATGATGTTCACTTACTTGTACCATTTTCCTACCTGATGGTGTTGTTGATTTATCAATCAAGCATTCATCTTTGATTTTAAGAATCTGTAAATTGCTTTAAGCTAGGATATTAATTTTAATATACAAATTTCCACCTGAGAAGTTTAATACGTTGAAACAGCTCTAAATTCTGTGCCGCTGCATCAAATTGCTTCATTTTCACCACCAGAAAATGTCTTGATTATGCCACATCAATCAGTAGTAAGTAGCAATGAAAAATAAATTCACTTCTGTATTCCATGAATAAATTTTCTCCTAGTTCATTAAGTGTCTGTATTGGTTGTATCTAGCTGCAAAAACCCTTTTTCTTTTCCACCCTTGTTTTTTCAAAGCTCATAAAAGAGAAGGATGTCAGTGGGGAAATAAGCAGCTGTCACTGGACCCTATCAAGAAAACCATCTGTGAATTAGTACATGTTCATAGTCTTTCTTGATGTTGTGTCTGTGTCTTGTCATGGTGGGCGGGAACAGAAGAGGACAAAGACAATAAAGAAGCACCAAATCTAAAATTGTCATTAAGGCTCTGGATCAGCAGAGGTGTGGAGAGTTACCTGTGACATCACGGTGCAGACTGGAGACTGGAGCTGAGCTGGAATCCTGCAAGTCCATCTCACTGTGCAGCAGCTCTCTGTTTGGTTTAAACGGCAGGACGTTGACATAATTGATAGTCCTGTCAATATGGAGCCCAGTGTCTGGGGTCACAGACGGAGGAGCTCCACAGGGAGACCGGAACATACCTGAAGTAAAAATCCAAAAAAGAGCTGTTGAAGTGGCAGCCTGGATGATCCTGAGCCAGCACCACTAAACTTCAAAATGTATTATGAAGCTGCACCTCTTTTAAATAAAAATCTTTAAGAACATTCAAGACAGTGAACTCATCAGTGATGTAATTCTCTTACCACCGGCTGATGTTGGCCTCAGTGTGATGGGTAGAGGTGGAGGGACAGAGGGGGACCGAGAGGCCGACGACTTCTTCAGAGCCACGTCCGCAGTGTCGTCATGTTCCTCTCTCACATAGAGACGCGCATCTGACAACAGGTTTTATTTAGCACATTAGTATTTGACAGTCACACAGAGAGTGACAGAATAGACTTCAGTGTAGTGAAACAACAGTAAATACTGCATTACAAAGAAGTTCTACATTAAAAGTAAGGAGCTCTTGTGGGGTCACATTGTCCACATGAGAAAAAGATTCAACCTTAATAGTGTCTCTGTGTTATATCCAAACTCCTCTCTCTCTCTCAGTCGTTAACACCTTTATCTTCCTACAACAACCCAAGTCTCAGGAGACTTGAGAGTGAGACTTGCCGTTGAGCAAGAAATGTAATGTTGCTAGACTCTTAGTAAAGGCCCAGCATAACAATTCATCAAAAAACTCTTTTAGAGGATGTTTCTTGGACTGTCAGAGTTGCCCCATAGGATTTAATTGTAGCCACAGCACTAAATCATAGCTGCTGTGGAGATGATCTACTGGACGATTCCATAAGAGTACCATTAATTCATTTATTCACTGAAGTTAAAGAGAGAAGGTAAATATTCTCAGCAAATAAGAAGCAAGGTTATTTTATTACATTTGTTCTAGCCCCAAACTTTTAGCCTAAAGCCCATCATCAGAATTATGATTGAGAAGAGCTCAGTTTCTTTTTTTCATAATCTTGTTTAATATGTGTTATAAAACCAGGGGATCTTCTATCCCGTTATTATTATTACTTAAACATGAAGACAGCACCGATCATTTTAACCATATTATAGATGGTAATCTGACAGTTTAATTTATAACAATTTGTCATATTTTATACTGCATATAAAACGTTCATGTTAAAGTTAGAAAAAAAGAGATACAGTGGAGTAGATGTGGAAATATTCGAGCACAAACCCACCTTGTGTATCTGCAGGTGAGACGAATAATGGTGGTGGGTTGGCAGCCTTGAAAATAGATGACAACAAAATGAGATTTTATCTTTAATCCTCTTGAGAATTTGTTTGAAACGTGTACAGCTTATTCCTTCATTTTTTTAAAGTGTTTCTTATAAGGTCAACGTTTCATTTATAAGAGGATGACTGCGCTACAGCTTTTTTTTATGGCTCGAGCTAAGACAGGCAGATAAAAGCTCACCTGGGTCAAGCATCTATTCCTCACTGAACGCCACTGCTCCGGTGTAATGTAGTTGTCTGCACTGCACTATAGATGGGAGACAAGAGAGGTTATCATCATAAGGACTAATTGTTTTCCACTGCAGCAGTCAACAGGAAAAGAGAACGTTTTCATACAGGTGAGAAATGTTAAAGGGAGGGGGGGTGGATGTCTGAGTCGCTGTGGGCAGAGAAGCCGCTTAGAGAGGGATTGACGAGGGGAGGGAAGGAAGGGATGGCAGGGGCAGGAGGTGAGGAGGAGAGGAGAAGAGGGTGATGTAGAGCCCAGAGGCTGGGATGACATCTTAAGAGGTGGCAGACAGGAGACAAAGGGGGAGGCTGCCTCAAACATGAAAAATCTCTCAGACAGCGTGTCCCAATTTACCACTGTCTCCAGCACACAGCGGCTAATAACACGGCCGGCTGCTGCTTCAGGAATATTATCTGTCACACGTTCTGTGTCAGTGTGACTTGAGGAACCAGGCGTCGTCTCATTACCCAACGTTCAGGGTTGGAATTCTTTACCACACTGAACTGCTGACACTGAGGACTGATGAATGAAGAAACTCATTTGTGGACTCTGCTTTCTGACGGTTTCTGTTGGTTTCATCAGTACTGATTAACTTTCTCTCTCCCGTTTTGCTCTTTCTATCTCGCCAACTTACACACACATGCAGACACACACTCCCACACAAGCTGTCAGAAATCACAAGACACGTTGCTTCCTCTCCTGCTCTGCTGATTCCGTGCGCGCTACATGGGGGGAAAACACTTTGCACAACCCATCAGAAAATTAATTAAACACAATGTGGTGAGAGCTCCTCTGAGAGCTTCTGAGGTTTCAGACTAAAGTATCTGAGGGAAAACCACGACAGGTTTTCAAATTGAAAACCACACCTCTTTCTTTTATAGCAACTATTGTTCTCCTGTATTAGTGGTTCTGGGGAAAAGTGGCTCTACCTCAATGTGAGAGGGAACTTATGTCGGGCTCCTGGCCTATTATTTGCTGCAGGAGGAGAGTCCAATCACATGTCTGACACCAGGTTATTTGGGTTTGACAGACTGCTCCTCCAATGATGGACGTGTACAGGATGCACAGTTGTCTGCGCTCTGAAGTAGAACTTGGACAAAGCTGCCAAAGTCTTTGCATATAAGTCTTTGAAATAAGAGGAGAGCAAGTGCACGTCTGCAAAGTTCAAAATGAAGTTTGCCCAGTCAAAACTCAAGTTTTACAAGGTTTCAAACCTGGAAAACAAACTGATGCACTGGGCGAACAGTGGCTACTTTAAAAACTTTTTTTTCAACCCATCCAAACTAGACAAGGCTTCATAACTTTGACAATAGAATGATATTTACCTCATACACTTGGGCCAGAGACAAACTGCCCATAAGGACATTCGACAGTAAGAGCTCAATCGACTGCTACAAAGTTACATCTGAGACTCCAGAAGTGTTTTGTGGACTCAAACACTTCACCCACCCCTCCATCGGTATAGTGGTGGGTAAATGAGTGAATTTTCTTTTTTGGGTGAACTATCCCTTTAAGTAGCTGGGATCATTTGTCTTGATTTGTGTTGCTGATGATGTTCAGTTTGAATCACAGAAATCATTTTCGCTTGTTTTTCTGCTCCTGTGGAAAAGCATGCTCAGCATTTTACACTTTTCTTAACTGCGGCTCGAGCCTTTAAGCAACTGCTGTAAATCACAATTACAAAGGCAGCACCCAAGTGAGTCTTTAGACTCAATAGCAAGAAGCAGTGTGCATGTGAAGAGGCCAGATAAGTGCTTTTTGAGCTGCCTGTGCATCAGCAGCAAACACTGCAATATTATATAACTCAGTGAGGCCAAAAGTTGAAACGACTTCAAAGACCGAACAGAAGAAAAGTGCATTTGAGACGTAGATCCACACAAGGACGGACTGAAAGACTCTTACTATGCATTTTAAAACAATTCAAAAGTAAAACACTTTGGCCTCACAAGCTACTGTTAAAGTAGAGATACAATTTTTTAAATTATCAACAAAAACAATTTTCTGTTGTGTTAGAAGGTATATGTATATTTTATTCAAATCTTATGAAGTTTAGTATGTTAAACATCTGGATAGTTTTTGTAGTTATTTTTAATTCTCAACTGCTTTCAGTTTTGATTGATCCTCTGTTTTATGCTGCATCATTATTTTCTGTGAAGCTTCATGTGTATGTGGAACAGGACTACAATATTGAGCTGTATTTCCCATGTGATGCATGAGAGACTGTTCTATTTAATGTCGCTGTAGAATTTGAGATTCCCTTTAGTCAAACATGTTACAAACTAAAATGAAACTCTTGGTGCATACCTCCACCAAGGCCCAACAGTCTCCTCATAAAACCACATTGAAATTCACTAGATCCTGATTTTGATTTTGATCTGCTCCAAATTTCACACACTCAGTGTGTGGCTGAATTATCAAAATGTTGAAAAACACCCCACATTGTAAAGTTAAAGAAAATAATTCCTGAAAAATTTTCTCTATTCCCCGGCAGGTCTACCAAAGTAATGAAGATACTTACCATGAAAGACAGAGAATTTACTCCAAGATTATAGAATTTACAGCTGAGTCTCACTGAGGCTCATTGACTCTAATGCAGTAAAATGTCTGTGACAGCAGGAGACAATTCTGTAAGTTCAGCAATATCACTTGTTCTAACTCTGCCTGTTTCCTCTTCCACAAGATCCAAACCACAAATCTACTGAGGAGTTCATCCTGGATAATTAGCACAAGGAAAACTTTTCTTTCTAAGCATAATAATAACGAATCGACCACTGTGGGCTTAATAAATGCAAGCAGGCACATTAAAGAGAGATTAGCATCAAAAGGAAAACAGCCTAAGAGCTGCAAGAAGTCATTAGTGTGTTGATTTGCAAACACTTTGTTTCATTAATGCAAATGTTTGCATGGAAAAGTGAAGTCAGAGGATCTTTCTGTAGCGCTGAGCTTCAATTACATGATCTATTTCATAAATCATAAATACAGAAGAAAATCCGTTTTTTGCTTAATCACAATTCAATTAACCAAATCTCCTCAGGGCGATTAGACTCTAGAAACATAAAACATAGAAGCTTGTTTTCTCTGGTCCTATTAATAGAGGCTGTGTAAAAACAGGGGTATTAGATTAAGAGGACTCAGAAGACACTAGTGATGCTCTCTCTGATGTGCTGCTCTACTTAGCTGCTGCTTAACAACAAAGCACATTACCCAGATTTTAGCATCACTTCACTGGCTCACAGTAAACTTCAGAACTGATGTGGAGATACTCTTAATAACATTTAAGTTCCGATCTGGACTCACACCCGAGCACATCATTGATCCTTTGACACCACACATGGTCCTCATCCACGGATTTGGTAGCCAATCTAAAATGAGGACCAAGGGTGTTCTGTTTGGGCGCCCACGCTATGAAACAAATGTCGCTCTTAAAAATATTTTTAACGATTATCTATCCTTTGAGGGATGCAGGGGGAGCTGGAGTCAATATCAGCTGACAGGCGGGATAAACCCTGGAAACGTCACCAGTGAATCATGGGGCCAACATACAGAGACAAACAACCGCACTCACATCCATACCGGACAATTTAGATGTCTTTGGACTGTGGGAGGACGCCGGAGTATCTGGAGAAAAGCCATGCAGACACAGGGAGAACATGCCAACTCCTGGGATTCAAACCAGAAACCTTCTTGCAGTGAGGTGACACTGCTAACCACCATACTGATCCCCTACAACCCATATTTTATAAATGAGGTTTTACTAAGCTTGTGGTCTGAACTTGTACTGGGCTCCATGTGGAGAGGACAATTAATTATTTCAACATCCCTATTAGTCCCCACCCTATGTGCTGTATAAACACAACTTATTATTAGCATGAAAAGTTATTATTATGTTCAGTCGACTGGTTGTGTGATTTATTGATGAACTGAAATAGTGTGACATGGCATTACCTGTGTTTCCTCACGAGGCAGGCCTCCAAGTGCGAGCAGGGGTCTGGGTGTGGACCTCCCCTCACTGTCCACAGAGGGCGCCCTCTCACTGCCCCAGGAGTGTGAGTGCTGCAGCACGGCCTGACGCTGGGGCCTGGAGCTCGGTCCTAAGGTGCTGCCACTCATCCCATGACTTCCCCCTCTATCTCCACTGCTCCTGCTGTCCCTGCCCGGCTCAGGTGGGGCTCCCTGGGCTGGGGTTTCTCTCAGGTGCAGGGTGTGGAGGAGACTCCTGGGGGTGTCGTACCGCGGTCTGAGCAGGCTGGGGATCTGGTAGTCCTCACTGTGCCTACCAGATGCACGTGAGCTAGACCTGGAGGGGAAAGAGCAGGCGGAGCAGGGGGAGTTAGCAGCACTGCGGTCTGGGGTGAGTGTGGACTGAAAAGGTGAAGAAGGAGGTGGAGGAGAGGGGGGAGGAGCAGTAAGAGGTGAAGAAGGAGCAGGTTGGCTAGCCACAGAGTCAATCTCCTCCCCTCCTCCTTGACTGGCCGCGTCCAGACTCCCTGTACACGAGGAGCAGCTCCCTGAGTAAGACGACTGACTGCCCGTGGCTATCCCAATGCCACTGTCCAATGAGCTCTGTCGCCCGCTGTCATGGAGACCACGAGGATGGAGCTGGGCGGAGGAGGGACGAGTCCCAGGGCCTCCCATCACAGCAGTGTAGAGCCGATCATCTGAACTGGCCAGCACTTTCAGGGTGGAGGAGCTTGACACGGTCTCACTGGACAGGTGCAGTCTTGCTAACGGCTCCACCCAGAACGGAAGTCTGCTCCCGTAGCTCGTGTCTGATTGGCTGGAGGAGGAGCTGGAGATGCTGCTGTGGTCGTCCCCGGCAACAGATGTGCTGCAGCTGTAAGTTGAGGCTGAGGAGGGCGAGAAAGTTATTGGATACTGAGGAGGTGATTCATTATTTTATGAGACACACATATTGAAATGCATTATAAACTGAATAGAAAGCTAAACAGCTGTATACATTTCATTACCATATCATTAGTATTATATAAATCATGTTATTAATTTGGCACTGGGTGCAAAGTTTTATGACCCTGTGAAATTACTTTGGTGAGGTGAGGCTCAGAGAATAACATACCTGTGCTGCTGCTGCTGCTGCTGCTGGCCAGGCTGCACTGAGACAACATGCTGAGTCTTTTCTCCAGCTCCGACGCCTCCTGGTTGATTCGTTCCTCTGCTGAAGCTGGGTTTGCACTGAGGTCTGCTGAGGACACATGCAACACACATGTAACACACAACACACGCACAGACACACAAAGAGCACAACACTGTAATAGGAGCGTCAGAGTCTCAGGGACATTACTATCCAAGTTCACCGCGATATTGTTTTACATAAATCCTTAAGGTTTAATGATGGCAGCAAATACCAGAAGCCCTATTAGATATAAGGCAATGTTTATTTAGAGGTGATCTAATGCATCTAATGAGCTGTGTGGAACTTGAAATATTAAAATCTGTATAATAGAAGCTGATGTATATAATTATAGAATGGATAAAAATGATATACTTAATTAAAGAAATGCAGAACTTCCAATTACCACACTAGCA